TATACTACTGTACACATTCCCTACTCGGGTAGCTAATGCTGCACATTCAGGCGTATGCTTCCCACAAACGAACTATCCCCGCAATCCAACCCAAGGGTAATGAGAGGGACTGCAATGCAGGACCGCTGGCATCAACTGTGGCTGGCACCAGCAGAAGCTGCCCGCATGTTTAGTATGGCCTGCAATTGCAACCACAACTCTGCAGCAAGAGCTCGACCAAACTCAGAGCATCACAAGCAAAGAGCCCCAACAGATCTAGACGCGGTTCAGAGACATTGCAGCGACTGATATTGCAAAGCAAGCACTCCACATCCCAGCCTGCAGAACCAACAGGCAATGCAGCCCAATTACTTAGCCAGCCCGCAGCCAAAATGCAGCGGAAATTTCTGATTGCTGAAATGACTTTGGAGACTTCGGATTATGAACATACCGGGTCTGTCCGTTCGTCATGAGCACCCCGTCTGATCAGGGGCAGCGGAGCTGGTTCTGATATACCTCATCTGTGCTACTGGCCAGTACTTGGAGGGTCATGGGGACTTAGTAAGTAGGCTCATAATGGGGATAATTAGGGTTACTATGTGGGTTATAGGGGTTATTAACCTACGTACTAAGTCCCCCTGTCAACTTCATCTTCCATTCCATAGGGTTTAGGGTCTAGGGTTAAAGGTTAAGGGTTAAGGGTTTAGGGTTTAGGGTTATCTTCTCCAACAAAGATGACGCCTCCATTGCAAGCCTCAGGAACGCTTTGCTGAAGACCATCTTGGCGAGTACAAGGATATCTAGAGATGTGAAGCAGAAGTCTTGGTATGTCAAAGAGTGAACCTGTGTAGTTGTTTTGGGACTAGTAGAGGTTCATTCTCCAAAATTCACTAGAAACTACCAAATGGCCCTTGCGTTTCATGATGAAACCTCTGCACGACCTATGAACACCAAGTGAGCATTTCTCCAAGCAGCATGTGCCCCTCGGATGAATATTATCAAGCTATCTCGGCATGCTTAGGGATATGTAGAACCGTTGACGATTCAGAAAATCTAGGAATCGATTCTGAGAATACTTCTGTATACTTAACATCACCTCAGACCCAGTTGATAACTGTGCAGGGATGTAAAGTATTGGGGGTATATTGGGATAATGGCATAAAATGGAAACTACTATTTGGGGTTAGGGGTCTAGCGTATTGCAAGGCTTTGTAGAAGCAGGCGAATATCTAGACTCTAGACAAGGCGCAATTAGGGATATAGCGCAGAACGGGAATTGAGGTATAATGGGGTATATAAGGCAGAATGGCTATGCTGGCTTAAATCTGACTTGGAACTTGTTTAGGTCGATCTCCCATGCCGTGTCAGCCTCCTTCCCCTACACCCCTAAACCCTGAACCCCTAAACCCTAAACCCTAAGTAGTAGTTTCCATTTCGTTTTCCATTATCCCAAAATACCCCCTACATAACTCCATGTCTCCTCCACATGAGTACATGCTTCCCGGTTTCGCACCATGTCGAAGAAAAAAAACTCAAGTCTGGTCTCAGGCATGAAATGCAAAGGCGGGTTTGCCAAAATTAGGGGTTATATAAACTTTATATAGGGTTTATGTAGGGTTCATATACGGTTTATATAGGGTTTAGGGGTTCAGGGTTTCCCAAAATTAGAGGTACCCATTTGGGGATCCCCATAAAAAGCACTGCAATATTTTGGGGTTTATAGTGGGGTCCCCTATGTTAGGAAACTATCAAATCTCTTGTTCAGAGCCAGCCTTTTTGCATTGCAGCACCCTCACATGCAGACGAGATCTTCACTCGCCTCGCTGATGCTCTTGGACATCATGGAAGCTGGTGCCGCTGGATCATCAGCTCTTTCCGGCTCAGGCCCAAGATTGTTCTGAGCTCGGGCATTCTGCTCGTCTCTGATCTTTTCCATGACCTGTGCTGAGCTGGTAAAGCAACAAGAGCGGTTCAAAACCCACAAAGTGGTTCTATATAACCCTATATTGGGGGAATAGCCCTATAATCCCCCATAAAATCCCACATATAATCTCCTATATATCCCCTAAAAACCCCGAAAATCCCCTATATAACCCCAAAGTGCCACCCCGTGACGTAATGGACCAATGTCACTGCATCATCGCTCGGCATTTGGCTAAGGCGCCAGATGGAGCGAGACATATCCTCCCACATTTGGGTTTTATAGGAGAGTATATTAGAGTTTAGGGTTTCGGGTTTGGGGTTTAGGGGTTAGGGGTTAAGGGCTGCATAGAGATTATAGAGGGGTTCTATAGGAGTATATATAGGGGTGATATGGAAAAGAAAATGGAAACTGCTGTATATCATTTAGGGTTTAGGATTTAGCTTGCTGGAGGTGTGTCAGGACTAATCTCTAAGGCTAGCCTGTGGAAGTCCTGTCTTCATGGTTCTAAGGATGTCCACAAGCTGAGCACTACATCCTTTGTGCCATTTCCGACTAGAAGGCATTGGCATCTCCATTCCCTCTCAATGTAGCGACTCGCAAATCATCATCCACTGGCGACCCAGCACTTAACAGCCAGCATCTTCAAAGCATGATTGACCGACATGTGGATGCAGCTTTGCATTCTCTACATCAGAGTCCGCACGCACATGGACATGAAGCTAACATGTCCAGGAAGCTAAGATGTGACAGCTAGGAAAGATGAATGCCAAACCCTGCAGTAGCCCCACCCGTTGCCCTAAACAATGGCTATACCCAATATAAATTCAATTCTACCCAGCAATATGCCAATAATATACACCAAATGAAATACCCAGCATATCCAGTAGTATGCCCCAAATACCCAATATGTACGCGATAGACCCACAAAATACCCAAGTAGCATGTCCAAAAACACCCAGTATGTAAACGATATACCCAAAAAATACCCTGTATACCCACTAGCATTCCCAGTATACGCAATATATACCCTAAACCCTAAACCCTAAACTGCCCAATGTACTCCATAAAATATTCTTGTACCGTACCCTTCCAGATGCCTCTGGACTGCACACCAGCGGCCCACTTTGCTCCGTCAAAGCATCCACCTGAAAGAGGTTTAGGGTTTTGGGGTTTAGGCTCGACATAGGGATTATAGGGAATATAATGGGGTTATAGGGATAATGGAAAAGAAAATGGAAGCTATTATTTAGGGTTTAGGGTTTGGGGGAAAGAAGTTTCGGGTTGAGGCTCCTGGCCATGTGGTGAATCATGAGACTTGGCAGGCAAGATCTAGCACGAGGATGTTGGGTACAATGGGGCATTTGGGGTATACTACCGGGTATGATGGGAATCTGCTACGCCTAGATCGGGGATTGTGAAAGTCCCTCTAGACTGTAAACGAGCCTGAACGAGTGTCTGATGGGCGTTTATGAAAACTTTCCATGAACAGAACGCTTCAGATCCTGCATCGCCCGCGTTGGGCTCCATCCTGCCCGCGTTTGCGGATAGGGATGAACAAGGGGTTTGGCGAAATCGTACTCAAGACTTCAAGGTCTGCCCAAGTCGGAGCACACACAGAACAGCATCTACTCCTCTTGGCCGGCTCTTTGCAGAATCCTAGCAAACCGTCAGGGAACCTGTTCGCTCCTACTGTTTAAATTTTTGACTGTGGGAGCGTCACCTCAGTACTCGACCCCGGTGTCACGAACGTGAGCACCCAGCATTTTTGAAACTATTTCTCGTCACTACGACTGCTGTTCAGGAAATCTCGTCACTACGACTGCTGTTCAGGAAATAAACATGTATAGAAAGTCCTTATAGCTGATCAGCTATCTTGGCTTACTTCCCCATTCCCTTCTAATCCCCACGGGAAACTCTGAGCTAGTGCCTGCCGCTTCCAGAAAGCACCCGTGTTGCTTTTCGCAATGAGTGGCGGCAGAGCCTGCGATCAGGATTCAGGTCTTGGCCTCTGGGCTGTCAATTTCAACATAGAACCTGCTATTAAGAAAATGTCAAAACAAGTCAAAAATCTATATGGGTTAGTGCGATACTGAACTATACTGTCTGCAGATTCTTATTATGGGAAGCATGAGACGAACCTGGGAGCGTTGGCGCATGGATGAATTTCTTCCACGCTCAGACTACAATGGAGGCCCGCCTGGAACCTGCGAGCGTGTTAGGCAAAACACTACCTTGAAACTCTGAAGTGCATTCCTGCCAGCAACCTTGTGCACCATTGCAACATGGCAGCCAGGATCTAGAAGGCAACTTTCCAATCCACAGCAACGACCATCATATAAGGATCATAACGGGACTACCGCATGAGCACCGTATTTGCATCTCAAGCCATCTAGGGAGACCGGGTCTGACTTCAATGCTTGCTCTTCCCTGGCTTGATGCCATTGATCTCAGGATTTCCCTTACCGCTCTCCCTTGCTGTGTACAGTGTTGAGAGTAGCAAAAAAAGCAAGTACTTGAAGGAGCCATGTGGCTCTCATGCTCTTTTTACAATGTAGTAAGTAGTCCAAACATGGCCAGCACATGCTCATGCAGTTTCGCTGTCTGACACACCCCTCAACCAGCCGCATGATTCATGCTGCCTGATGTGAAGTGGCGAGAGCGCATAGGATGTGCGGGCTGTTGCTGGGCCAATCGACTTGTTGAAATTCCTGAAGCCACAAGGCGATGAACTCATCGTTTGCCTGCAGGGTTATCCCGACGTTTACAATCCTAACATTTCAAACGCGCAAATCAAGGACTAGCATTGAGTACGAATTTCCTGGTGTGCAGCTATGCCAGCCACCAAGTTAAGCTGGCTTGTGGTTTTGCGCGCGCAGGAAGAATGATTCCTCTAGCAGATTTCTGGCATGTGTTGAGAGCACTGGTTTTGCATCTAAGCAAACTGGCAAAGGTCAGTATAGCCCAAGGTACCTGCTCTCACACCCAAGATGGTCCAAAACGAGCAAAACCCCGTGGTTTGAATCTTTCAAGCCATGTGTTACACAACAGCAGGGAATCTACATCATGGATGCTGTTCTGCCCACGTAGGATTTCTAGCCTTCCTCAGAACAGCTTGCTGGAAGGAGGGGCCCATGCGCAAGATGGTGGTGCGGGACCACCGCATCAAGCGCCATGCCTTCAAACCTGTGCGGCAAGCGTCTGGATTTCGGATTCAAGCACCAGCGTGAGAGTTTTGAGCTTGGGTGGGCTCGAAACAGCACCCAAAAAAGGTTTTGAAGTAGTTGGTTCTTGTGTTCTTCAGAATGTAACAACTTCGTGCCCTGGATAGCATCAGGCATGCCTAGAACGGCAGGGACTTTCCAGTCATCTCTAGCTGGTGCATGTAAGGGGCACTGATGTGCGGACAGATGGTGTGGGAGATTGCTGAATATCTCTGCCGCAGCAATGTCAGCTCAGCCCGACCCTCATCTCGAAGGGGCAGAAGACTTGCAACAGATTCTTAGCACCGCCATTTTTTGGGGGTTGAAACAAACCTTAAACTTGACTCCTAGCAAGACTCCGACACCCAAAACTCTAAAACCTCTAAACCGTGTCAACAACAGGTCAGGAAGCGCAGTTTGCGCTTTGCAGTCGCAAAGGACGTCAGGCGCGCCCTTGCTGTTTTCGGCGCCATGGCCGTGATCTCGACAGGGTTCGGGGCTGCTTGGGTTATTTCTCAAAACGGGGCCCGCCCTTCGTCATAAACAGGACCCGCAAAGTTGTTAAAAGCCCGGTTCCCGCTTTTAGGTAACATGAGCCCTGGACTAAATTTTAAATTTCCCACAGTATCACCCTCAATAACGTTTATGATACTCGCTTATATAATCCCCTATATTTCAAGGAGTGTAGATCGAGTTCATATATCTCCCTATAAAACCGTCTGTTAGTCAGGCGCTCACATGACAGAGACAGGCCAGGGTTCCAGGTTTGGAGTCTAAGATGTGCATAGGCTTGTCAAGAGGCTATAAATATTGGACATACAGCTCTCTACTACTTTATTCTTATTATAGTAGTAGTTACTATGATAATCGTCCTTATTGTTACTATAATAATAAATAATACTTATTATTATTGTAGAATAGAAATGTCGACGGCATTCATGTCATTGCTAGAGTAGTAATTATAATTCTGGTAGGGGCAATAATCACAGTAATAATAATAATAACGATAGTAGTAGTAGTAGTAGTATTATAGTAGTAGTAATACTAATAGTAGTAGTAATACTAATATTAATAATTTTTATTACTATTATTATAGCATGTTAGCTCCCAATTCTTTGCATGCAATGTGACTATGGGCAGACCACCTTTGTCTAGTCATGCTGAATGAAAACCACCAACACAAAGTAGGGTAGCCCAGTACACTCCCAAAATAGCATGGCCACAACCTATCCAGAGACTGGCTCTAATAATTTGCATCTACATGCTTGTGAGAACAAAACCCAGAAGTGGTGAACCAAAGACAGCTGAGCAAAGATGTGTAGGCTGTCGCATCCACGACAACTATTTCCTTGCCACTTAGTACGCATCTTACTCCCCATTAATCCTGGCATTCTCAGTGAAGATAAGCACTCCCTAACTCCTGACCTGCTATCATGCCCATTCAGCCTGTGAAAGGCCATGCAACACTGGCTTGGCCCCTAAAACCCTTGCAAAATAATAATATATAGGGTCCCCTATTAAAGCCATTAGGGAAAATATTAAATATCCCAGGGGCCTACCCAGAACACCCTGAAATTCTCCGTCCCTACCGTCACCTCAGCAGAGTCGAAGCACCATGTCAGTTGAAACTTCTCGGCGGTTGACTCCTGATCTGCACATGTCAGACGACTGAACATCCATGGCACTTCTCCTTAGTGTTCGGGAGGGCTTTGCAGGGTGTGTGAAGTTACAATAGTTTTAACTTGGGGCCAAGTCCGCAACACATGTTTTGGTGCACAAAGGATGGTACTACAAATGCAATCAATAAACCTTCGATAAGTTGCACCAAAAAGTGGTCATCATCATGACTGACGGGCAATGTCGGCGGCATTTCCTAGTGAATGAAGGAACGGTCGCATCTCGGATGCTACGCAGGTTACCCGAACCAAAGCCAATACCACGAATTTCACATTCCCTAATTACTCTTACAGGGCCGCTGCTCCACTAGAGCCAGAGCCCTAAACCGAAGGATACCTCTAACGGACTTCCCTGAACCTTAGGCGTACAGTCCTGAAACAAAGGCAGCGCAAGCCTGATGAAGAAGCGCTTGATGGCACCTCCACAACATGGCTTCAAGAATTTGCGGTTTCCCTTGCAGCGCTTCTTTCCAAGGTCCCAACATGAACCCAAAAGAATTCTGAAACCACCACGCGTCTCTGTATCAGGGTCTATATCAGGACAGCGACTCGAAGGGCAGGATGCTGGACTAATGAGAACTATACTTTGACGCCCAGTTTAACCACACTTTACTATGGCCACCATTCTTACTACTAAGGTCTTAATTACACTGGTTTTTGACTCCACTGCCCATCCAAGTAATTCATGTAGACTTTGAGAGCCCTGGTCACCTACAATGTGAGGTTCGGGACTTAACAAGTAGTCAAGTATAGTCATGGTATTAAAAAAGGTAGTGCTAATAATGCTGGCCATAATAAGAACAATAGTACTGCTAGCAGTAATAGTAGTAGCAACAAAAGTTGTAGAAAAGTTCCGGTTTGGGCCCATCTTTTGCTCACAGTGTAAGCAGAAGGCTTCAGGGCAGCTCCAGACAGACGAGATCAAGCTTCAGAGACCTTCTGCAACTCTTGTACGGGCCACTCAAAAGGAAGGTACTGACAAACGCGATACGCAATATGGTTTTGCACCATGGGCCTCTATGTCAGACATGCTCAGGAGAAATTCTTCCACAAATGCACAATGTAATCAAGCCGCCTTGACAAACACACAGGCATTCACTGGGGAAGTGTCTGCTAGTCCCAGTATGCTCAATGCTTCTGAAGAGAGAGGAGTCTGACTCCTCACTGGCGATCTGAGTATTACCCATCCATGTTTGGGGGGTTCTTTATTATACTGACTATACAACATCGACGTCCATATATCTATGGAAACTACCATAGTTTAAACTCGTAGTATCCCCCTTCATAACCCTTATAGTAATCCCCCATATAATCCCGTATATAACCCCCTGAAAAGGAGTTCCATAAGAAAACTGCTAAGTACCGCCAGACTACACAGCTAGCGCTTACATGGCTCGGCGTCTCCCAGACGAATTGTAATTTCATTTTTTCCATTATCCCAATATAACCCAAAAATAACCCTATATTTACCCCAATGGGTCAAACCCCTAAAACCCTAACACCCTAAACCCCTAAGAATTCCTGCAACCCATGTTCCACTCTACGTCCCAGATAGAGTGATGTCCTCTAGGACCCAAAGCAATGTTTCGGCCTTGCAATTCATGGACCCTGAGCCCTTATTATGCGCCTCAACAAGAAAGCTCAAAGGGGGTTTCCCAAAACTAGGGGTACCTTTTTGGGGTCCCTATGATAAGGACTATAGTATATTTGGGTCTATATTGGGGTCCCTCTATTTTGGGAAACTACCATATACCCCATCCCGGCCTATGTACTTCATAGGTCCTGATTCGAAGTCTGCCGTTCTCGTGGAGGCGTCTCGGAGCATTTGGGCCACCACATGTACCACGAAGTAGCTCGTGGCAAGCAGGAGGCACAAGAAGAGGAGGCACGCGAGCCTGAAGATGAGAAGGTTTAGGGTCTGAGGCCTCCAAGTTTCGGAACAAATTGGGGTTGCAAAATTAGGGGGACCCCCATATAGACCCTAATATACTATAATCTCTATTATGGGGACCCCCATAAAGGTACCCTAAACGGCTTTCTTCAGACCTCCCAGAAGGCATGCTAACATCAAGAAGCCTGGCTTTTGCATAACTGTTTGCTTAGGATGCCCAGGTCGTGGGCACTAGGGGTTGTCTAGGGTTTAGGGTTTGGATCAGAGACTTCGTCACATGCCGTCATCATCCTAAGGACTCAAAGCAACGGCCCATACTTTTGAACAATTATGAAGTCAAGCCTTATGCAGGCCGCTTGGGATCTGGGCCGCCCACCACATATCCGAGCGACTTTTACTGGGAACCCCGGAACAGGATTCTTCGAGAAGTCTGAACCCCGTTCTCATCAATTACTACTGTGATTGTTACTATTACCATTGCGACCATAACTATTACTACTATTCTTATCAATGTTTTCATTACTACTAATTTCTCAAGCTTCAGAAACTGTTGACAAGGCACCCGTATGAGATTTCCGGGGACGGGTTCACAACCAGGAGAGCTGAAACGCCGCTGAAAAGTAGGAACCGGGCGCCGGCCAACGTGACCTGCGCAGCGAGACGGTTTAGGAGTTTGGAGCTTGCCATCTCCTTAAAGCCTAAACCCTAAACCCTGTTAGCAGGGAGTGAAAGAATGGAGTTTTGCAATCTCAATAAACTAGGCCCTTAGACATCCGCTCAACTCAGGGTTGCAAGTAATTGGCATCATCATCGTCATTTATCCAGAATACCAGTAAAATCATGCTTGTGAAATGAAGAGGTCCTGAAATCGCTGAACACGATTGCTCCGGACCAGATGTATCACGTTAGAAACGCTCATCTTTCAAAACTGATCAGCTTCAAGATACGTGCGCACTCCGTACATCTATGTATCCGTCTGTATATGTACATACGTATATACACAATCAGTATGACTTGAGAAACCTCCGCGCATGTCTATCAAAATCCCAAATCCTCATGTGTATGTATATACAGACATAGATATACCTATATACATAGATATGTACATTGGCAGAAAAAAACTAGTGTTCAGACATGGGGGTTTGCGCCAGATCATGTTTGAGTACGATACCCGCGTCTGGCGCGGCGTTAGGTTGCGCAATGCCGTTGATATGGCTTTCAAAACAAGCCTACATGGGTATTAAGCTCCCCCTCCCCACCCACCCAGCCCCAACCACCCAAAAACCCTCAAAGGACTGTAACCTCTACCATAAGGTTACCCAAACAAGGATACCCAAAAGTCTGAGAAATTACTTCATGCGAGCAAGACTTATAGGCATGATGCTGTTTATGCTACGCTGAACTACAACGGCGATATAGCACCCAAGATTTCAAAGACATCCCTGGTCCGAATCTATGACGGCACCCCTTGGAGGTCTGCATGTACAGGGAACTACACAGCTGAAACCCATGGTCAAGGCGACCATCATCTGTTTTGAGTGCTGCTGTTTGCTGTTGACAATTACCATGGTGCTAGCTAGCCTGCAGAGAAGTACTGCACCTGCTAGATTCGTGCAAGGGTGATCACTTTGAGCCTCCAGCATGTCCAGCAATTCTGCTTGGTCGTTCGCGTAGGGCTTGACCCAAGCAGCCAAGGCCAACTGAGCCAGGTTTTCTTGGATTCGATATGGTTTCAAGTCGAGATGTTGTTTTCCAGTTCTCAGCACACTGGACACCAACATCTGTCAGAGCACGGTTTCGGTGCTTCTTGTCTTGCGGATGAAACACTCTGCCAAACAAGTCCAAACAAAAACCCAGGGAACCACCCATAAAACTACGAAGCCCCGCAGCGCTTTTACTTGCTGTTATATGGTTGAAATCCCTTGGAAAAATCTGCAGAATGACCACAGTTTTCAGGCACGGCTTCACAAAGGAATCGTCACTGAAGGCACCCAAACTCGACTCCTTGACGCGCACAATTATGTCTCGGTTGACTTGGGTCGAGTGAGCCTAGAGGCTTAGAGACCCAAATTGCAGAACTGTTGAACCCTCATCCTTCACCAATTTCTACACCCTAACCCGGCGTTAGTGTCCTGCCTGGAAACCCGAGAGGACAGGAAAGAGCAACAACTTTGCCGCTGGACTGCGTACGACGGAGGTGTACGTGACCTATCAAGGCATGCGAAATCTTGACCTTGCTATGCATGAAGATGAACTCGAAATCTCACTCCGCAAACCATCTTCCCCAAGCACAAAAAATTAAAGCCATAACAATGATATACATATCATTTTTGTAAGATAGGTAAGAGTAGGAGTAGTAGTCGTAGTAGTACTACTACTACTACTACTACTACCACTAGTACTACTACTACTACTGCTACTACTACTACTACTACTACTAGTAGCAGCAGCAGTAGGCATTTGTCGAATACTAATAACAGTTATAGATATACTGATACGGATAAAAGTAATGGGAATTATACTCATAAGAAAAAGAATAGCAGCAATAGTAATAATACTAACCCTAAACCCTAAACCCTAAATCCTAACAAATGATCCAGTATACCCAGTATACCGTCTCTTTCCGGGTTTGAGGGCTTCAGGCTCAAGCTCCTTGGCTTGTGAGCGGACACCTCCACCAACGGACTACGAGCACATGTGAGCTATAGTCTAAACTCCTAGCATCCCCCTTACTAACCCCTATAGTAGTCTCCTATATAATCCCCCTTAATGGCGTTTGGACTATAGCTCACATGTTCAACATTGACATCACAGGCTTGGGGTAGAGGGACATCATCCTATATTCCACTCTAAGTAGATAGAATATGGCTTTGGGATGCTTCGGGTAGGTTATAATAAGATCCCCATAAACCCCAAATTCTATCTACTTGAGGGGGAGTGTAGTCCCACAACTCCAAAGCACAAACTCTGTTCCACCAACCCTACAGTCAACTGCCTATCTCCCGAAAGCTCTCGACCTGACAATAGACTCTGGAAAAAAAAGAACTCTGTTTCGTCAAGCGTGCCAGCATCATGACACCCACGTCGGCCCTCTTCACCAGGATGTCCCACCACCAGAACTTCGGCTCGAGCCCCTGGAAGAAGTACCCAAAACACCTGAGGCGCGACTCTATGAGCCTGCACATGCCGTGGGAGGCGACCTCTAACACCCGGCCCTCATGTCCCCTAGCATTCTGTAGTTCTGACGTATCACCCTCAATCTCAATCCCATTAAGCAGCTCCAGACAGTGTGAGAAAGGACCGCAATGGATTACAATCTGGGCGATCTTGCGATTCACCCGACTGAAGTGACATTTGAAGGATGATACACTAATTACAACAGATCCCGATTTCACCTTCGCGGCTGAAGTTAACCCCCTATACGGCCTGTCGTTATTCGGCGCTCTGCGGTCAGTCAGGGACCGCCTTGGATGCGGCAAAGGCAGAGTGGGCATTTAGCAAAGAGCGTCCCCATAGCTGCCCCGAATAC